AATATATTTGGGAGAAGATGCTTCTGGCTTACTAATGATGCAAATAGGTTCTCAAGAACCATTAGAAGCATGCTTCAGCTTAAACACCATCTGGTGGACTTTCTGAGATGTGAGGTCAGAGATGGTGAACAAGCATCTTTTTGGTATGACTCTTGGACGAAATTGGGACCCTTAATTGATTATTTCAGGGAGAGGGGACCAAGGCAGCTGCAAATTCGTCTTCAGGGTCGTGTTTTACATGCTACTAATGAGCATGGAGATTGGCATCTGCCGGCTGCAAGATCTGACCAAGCTCAAGCTTTACAGGTTCTTCTAACTACTACCACTCCCCCTAATCCGAGTAGAGGTGGTGATATCTATTTATGGCGCAGTGCGTCAGGATCTTTTGTGAATGAATTCTCCTCCAAGGCAACTTGGAATCATATACGAGTTTCAGCACCACTTGTATCTTGGCATAAGATTGTGTGGTTCACAGAAGCAATCCCTCGGTGCTCTTTCATCACCTGGCTTGTTATGTTGACTCGTCTACCCACCAAGGATCGTCTGGTTCGGTGGGGAATAAATGTTTCTGATCGTTGTGTTCTGTGTGGTTTGGTTTCTGAAACTCACGATCATCTGTTCTTCCATTGTGGTTTTTCGTCGGACATTTGGTTCTATTTTGCGAGAAGAACAGGTCTTTCTCCTCCTCAAGGTTTTCAAGACGTGGCAAATTGGATCTCTCAGAGTAATGCGTCAGTTAATCCTCAGCTTCGGACTATCTTAAAGCTGTTGTTTCAAAGCGTCATCTACCTAGTCTGGAAAGAGCGCAATGCTCGTATCTTCTCAGACGTCTCCACTCCTTCTTCAGTTGTTCGAGCATCGGTTGACCGTATGATGAGGGACAGGCTGCTATCTTACCCGGCGCGCGTCATCTCTTCTCCTTCCCTGCTCGAGTGTTACTTCGAGCATCTAGGTTCCATTAGTTAATATCTTCTCGCTTTTCGTTTATAAGCTAAGCTCTTGTAATGTGGTTTCCACAACTATGTAAAACTTATTATTGGTATGAATCTTTAACATCTTCGACCAAAAAAAAAAATAAAAAATAAAAAAAAAAACTTATAAAACATGGAACCAACTTTTTATTAGATATCTAATAAGTGATCATGAGAGAAATATTATTCTCCTTAGACGTAGGATTGGTTCTACGACATTTTCAAGTAATATATATAACTACGATAAAGAAGAATCCATATCGGAAACAAGGATTCGATCCCATTATCGAATATAGGGTTATCGATTTTTTGAAGAGTAAAGATCTAGGCGTGATCACGCCATCATGTCATAACCAAAAGATGTTATGTATGAGACTATGAGTAGTTCCAAAGTTGTGTATGAAAAACAAGATGATAATGTTCTATCATATAGAGAATAATTAAAATAAACTAGAAAACGAAAACATGAATGGGGAATAGTAGGGATATGGGGCCTTAGCAACTACTTTTTTGAAGAGCAAGTTGCAAGCTTTTTTTTTTATATGTTCTTGTGCAATTATGAGATTCCAACTTTCACATTACTACAACATAGTGTGGTATCCTACATGTCTCTTAATTTTTAGTTGTTCTATTTTCTTACCAATTTTCTGAATAAATTCACATTAAAATAAAATGCAGTGTCTATTGCAATAAACATATCCTCATCCTCTTTCCCCTATCTTTTCAATTGATTGGGATTAAGGTTCATAGAAAACAACACATGTAGAAAGTGAGTAGCATGTACTAATATAAACTAAAATAGAAATCTTTTATATATAAAACTAATGTTGTATTCACATTGATGTAACTTGTGCTTCGAATATTTATAAACTGTAAAAAGTCAAAATTCCTTAAGTCAGTTCCTGAGAAAAAAGTTTACATGTCGTACGAATCATAAATTCTACTGATTTATGGCAAAACAAAAATATTGCTTGGAAGTTTGCTCTGCCAGAGAAAACAATTGCTCTTTACCTAAGACTTCGTCTTTATTTTTTTTCTTTGTATCTACCGTTAAATTGACATGTTAAATTATCGGATCTCTAGACGTATCTTTTAGGTGAAACAATCAGTACATAAAAAATGTGTCTAAGAAGTCGAAAAAAAAAAAGTGTCTAAGAAAAGTGTACACATGTTTTTTTCCATCCGAGAAACATACGATTTTATCTAACTCGCATTTGAGGAAAAAGAAATCAGAATAAATATATGGATTAAACATTTTTGACCTACCTTATCCTCCGAAAAAGTTTGGTAGGCAATTCAACGATGAACTGTGCTGTTGTATTGGGCTTTATTGGGCTATACTAGAGCTGCATTTTTAATTTGTCGCCCCTTCTGTTTGGATTTTAAAATTCAACCACAAGGCCAATTTAAAATCAGTAACGCCGGTGTGGGAGGAAATTTATTTTAAACATATTTAGTTGTAAAGGGTAAAAATCAAAAGGAATCTAGAGGAATACACTTTACAGCTCTATATTATTCCTCTGAAATTGCAATCATTTGTAATTAAGTGAATGATCAGTGATAACCTATTGAAGAACGTAATGATCAGTGACAAGGGAATGCGGAATTGTTTTAGCACTATTCGGATAGAGGGTGACCAACGGTTGGAGCAGGGATTGCAATACTGGTTTGCATCCTATGCTTCCTTTTAGACTTTATTACGTAATGATGTAATCTCCTTTCATAATATAACGTTCGCAGAAACGGCTTTTTTTAGTTTGAATAAATTTAACATTCATTCAAAAAAAAAAAAAACGTAAGAAGATGATTGACACCGTAGATACGACTATTTTAATATGGCTTTGATATAAATTGGCATGCAAAGACAAATAACATATCAGCTTCACCGATTATGAACACTGTTAAGAAAAAATAAGCTTCAATAGATTGCTTAATTAATCTGGTATTGAATCTTAACACCAAAATAAGCTTCAATAGAATCGGGTATTGAATTCCCTCTCATCAACTGTCAGTTGCAAAGTTAATCCAGTATCATAAATTTAAAACCTTGGCATATATAACCAAAAAAATTTGCAAAGCAAAAAATAGACATCACAAAGGTAAAATATTAATATGGAGTATCTGATAACAGATTTTAAATGAATAATAATTAATTATTTTTTGGAACTCACAAGTCAAACCAGTGACCAGTTTTTGCTAGTTGTATATTACTAATGCAGAATTTAGTCTTCCACAACTAGTTTGGGCTATGGAATTTTCCGATTACGTAGAAAAAGAAATACAAGTCCACAACCGCAAAAACAGATACGATCAGATGGGCGAAGGTGAAAGTTTTAGTAAGCTAGAGATCCAGGCAACAGAATGAGAAATACCACCCTAACAAACTAAGAAATGTACGGCTTCATAATCTAAGTGTACGAAGAGAAAGATGAATGAAGTCAACGACCTAATGTTACAGAAGTTGATTAATTTATCTACTGAAATCTTGCATTTTGAAAACCGACATTTGAGTTTTCATCTCATGAGCATTTTCATGCTACATATGAACTTCACATGGATTCAGAGTTACACAGATACGATCATTATCTGGAATAGTTTGATAATGACAGAATCAAAATTAAAGTTTAGAGATGTTATTAAAATAGCTTTGAGAGCGGGAATCCCAGGCCCATCACCACCAGGCTTAACAACAACATCAGTGTGTATTCCATCTTTAACGGCCATAGCACTATCACCGAGAAAATCCACTCTATCCAATTTTCTCGTTCTGATATCTGCCAAAGTTTCTTCTTCTACAGTTCTACTACATGCCAAAAGGAAACACAAATATAATTGTAAATTTATAACATAAGGCACTCAAACTAATATGTCAGTAATGAGTTGATGAAATTTAATCATCTCATCTTCAAGTTAGTTGTAGTCCAAATCAGTGGTGGAACCAGAAATTTTTTTAACCGGGATCGAAGAAGGCATCCAACTTAAAATTAGGGGGGTCATTAGTAAGCTTAAGTTTTAGTTTTTATAATTTGACCTGGGTCAATTGACCACCCCACCTTCCAAGTAGCTCCGCTACTGGTCCAAATTCCACAATTTCTTTAGAATAGAAAAAAAAGCAGTAAGTGAGATGTCGACTTTTCTTTCTCATCAGTTGACACAGGATGAGTGATCTTAAAGTGATCATGTGCCAAATTTAAAAGTATTCTCTAAAATTAGACATATGTTTATTGACAAAATAAATCTAGGGTTATTAATGTTTACATGTACAAAACTTGTATGTTTGTTTTTCTATATTAGTCGCTCAAACAATTGGTATAGTGAATTTTAATCAGAAATAGTCATTTATTTGTTCTCGGTTCCGCTTAATTATATGTGCCTTCCAGCCGCTGGTACTTTTGGCCATTTCGAGACTGATAGTTGGCGCCATCGCTAGAATTCATCTTGGACATCCATCGATTTTACAATCTTAATCTAGTTTTAGCGGATCTTATTTATAAGAAAAGACATGCATGTATCAAAAACATGAAAATTAAATTTTTATGAAATGAAATTGAAACAAGTTTCTTCTATTGAAGAATGATAGATTTTCTTGTTTAAATTTATTATTTGCTGAATCAATCATATCCACCCTAAAAGAAAACTGATGGGTTAGATGAAGCCACACTAAAAGTTAAATACCATTTCCCTTGAGAGCATTGATTTATGTCCACACCTTTGTTACCCCTAAAAACTAATTCACCCGCACGCATATACTTTCTTCATGTGACTTTTAGAATGCAAAAACTATCAAAATATAAATAGAATTCACACACATATATATATATATATTATATGTATTAATGTATATCACCTACAGAATTTCAATTTAAAGATATAGATTCATTTTATAATTAAAGCCTAAGCTAAGTGTAAACAAGAAATAAAACCAACTCCAACACAAACCACACACACGCACACTCTCTTCTCAATCCATCACACAACAACTTACAAAAAATAAGCAAAGTGGCAAAACCGTAAATACAAAATAGTGCAATGTCTAAAGACTGCGAGAAGCACGGAGGCGGCGGACGGAGGAGAAGGAGTCGCCACTCGAATCTGCGGAGCGATCATCGGCTTCATCATCATTGTCTTGATAACAATCTTCCTCGTCTTGATAATCCTCCGACCAACAAAACCAAGATTCATCCTCCAAGACGCCTCCGTCTTCGCCTTCAACCTCTCGCAGCCTAAACTCCTAACCTCAAACTTGCAGGTCAGAATCGCTACACACAACCCAAACTCCAGAATCGAAATCTACTACGACCGTCTCCACGTCTACGCTACTTACTGGAACCAGCAAATCACTCTCCGTACGGCCATTCCTCCAAAGTATCAAGGACACAAAGAAGACAACGTTTGGTCCCCTTTTATCTACGCCCTTGCTCTCGGCGACGAGCAGAACCGTGGGTTCGTCGCGTTTGATTATACGCGCGGATGGGCGCGTGAGGTGGAAGGTTGGGACTCTTATCACCGGGAAGTATCATCTTCATGTTCGTTGTCCGTCTTATATCTCGGCGACAAGCAGAACCGTAAAACGCCACTAAACGCTACCAACTGCAAAAGCTGCGTTGCGTTTTATCACAATCATATAAATCGCTGCAAACTGTTCCATATCGTTTTATACCACTGAAATCCAAAAGCTGTTTTCCGCTAGCGTTTGCGGTTGCAGGCGGTAGCGGTTAAGAAAAAAAAAAAAACTAAAATCACGCTAGAAAAAAAATAAAAAATCACACAAAAAACAATTATAAAATCCTAACCCTACCAATCTCTCCTATATATATATAAACCCTAACCTCTGACATTTTAAGATACAAGCATAAGTTTCATAATATTTTAAACATAAGTGTCATAATACTTTGGTTTAATTCACTTATATTAATTATTTTGTTTCTACTTTTAAAGTAAAAAATTATAAATATGTATCTTATTAATTACAAAATTAGTTTGTTATAATTCTTTTTTTTTTGTTATTTAAAAAGTTACATGATCAAACGAGATAATATGTACGTTACTTCAATGGATCATTGTGAAAAAACAAACTCAAGATAAATATCTTTGATTTTTGAGTGCACTCTAGAAAGAATGTATTTTGAAGAATACTAATGAGCAATTTGGAGTTGATTTGAGCTGAGATCGTGCAACAAATCTATTAGATCAACTGAAGAAATTTTACATCATGCATAAGACAAATCCAGAAGATCAATGTATTGGAACAAAATTTTTCCAGTCCATTACATTACTAGACACAATTTTGAGTGATATTTCCAATAATTGAAATAAAACATATTATTATAAAATTTATTAGTATTTAAATTTAGTATTTATTTATAATTTTTATTAATTATTTTGAACTAGTGATTTTGATATTAATCATAATAATATAATTTTTTTTTTATAATTATATATGATGTTTATTTTAGTAATTTTATGTTTAACCGTTAAAACAACCGCTCCAGTCAAAAATATCCCACAAACGAACCCGCTTTAAAAAGTTTAACCAGTCATGTAAACCACTGAATAACGCTCAAAACCGCAATCGTCCGCTTCTGCAGTTTCCTCTTTATTTTTTTCTTATCCTTATTCAGTAGTCTTCTACTCTTTTGCTTCGGTATCTTTTAGTTTGTCCACGGTGTGTTTAGATTATTTTGAATCCACTATCACTGCATGTCACATAATTTTTCCGGATTGTATTGTTTGTCAGTTGAGTAGCTGAGTTTTATATAAAAATATGCAAAATTATCTTCAAAAATAAAATGTGAGGAGGAGACGACAAAGAAGCTCGAGTCCGTAAATTCAGATGTATAAATTATTTGGCGAGAACACATCAGATATGCTTCTAGTAAGTCTTAATATTTTTTTAAGGATGATAAAGTTGTTCTTTTATAGGAGGTCTCACCGTCTCCTTTTGCTATGCTTTCGAGGGCCTTGAACATAGTCCAGGTGAATAGACCCGCTCCACTCGTGAACGCAAACACTGAAAAACCGTATATAAATCTCTCAAACAAATTTTTCATGTTCTTCTTAAGTTCCTACTTCTTAGGTTCCACGGTCAGGGCCTGTTGGTGTGCTTCTGCAAGAGTGAGAGGGTTCAACAAGTTAAGTTTGTCTCGAATATCTTGCCCCAAGCCGCCAACAAAACGCGCCACAATCTGTTGGTCCGTCTCCTGCAGATCAACACGCGTCAATAGTGAAAAAAATTCGTTATAATATTTTTCTACGGATCCGTATCCTTGTTGCAATCTGTGCAAGCGTTGGAGCATCAGTTGATCATAGTTGAACGGTAAGAACGTTTTACGCATCTTCTTCTTCAGCTTATCCCACGACAAGATTTTAGGTTTACCCAAACGTGCCCGCGACGCCTTTACTTGCGACCACCAAGCTGCGGCTCTGCCACGGAAACGCATAGCAATCATGGGAACGCATCGATCCAAAGGTACACGCCCGAACTCAAGAGTCTCTTCGACCGTGGCCATCCAATCTAGGAGCTCTTCCGCCGATTGCCTGCCATTAAATTTTGGAATTTCGAACTTGGACCCGATAATGATAGGGTTTATGTCATGTTCTGCAAACGGATTAATGTAATCATCCTGCTGGGGAGCAAGAGCTTGCACCGCCATTGACAACTGCTGGATCTGTTCTTGTACAAGCGCGAGTGTCTGTGCGTGTGTCGGAGACGGATCGGAGGGGCCATGGTGAAGAAAACGTACGTATTAGGTTTTTAAGAAGACTCGAATTAATGAAAGAACTAAAAGCTATAAATACGGCTCTAAATCTAGGGTTTCAATCGACATAGGGTTAGAAGGATCCGATAGACGTTGGAAAGTCTTATCTAAAATAAATTTAAGAGTTTTTTTCTTCTTTTCTGTCAGCATAAAAGACTTATGTATTCTTTTCAATAAAATAATTAAATCGTAAAACACCATAATAATAATAAACAGGTAAATTACCTTTTTCCTGTTTTTTTTTAAGGTTTAAAATACATTTTAGGTAATATATTTTTTTGTCGAGCGGTTCTGTCTCATGTGTTATATTTCCTCCGTTTTACAAAGAGTGTCGTTTTAAGGTTTTATTTTTGTTTCATAAAGAGTGTCGTTTTATATTTTCAATGCAAAATTTTAAACAATATTTAAGTTTAAACCCTATTAATTTAATATATTTATTAGATAAAAATAAATTATTTAATGTATTAATAAGGAACAAAATTGTACTTCTAATAATTTTCTTAATATGTGTGAAAAATGTCAGAATGACACTCTTAATTAAACGGAGGGACTATATAAATTAACATCCATTCACCAGAAGTCTTTACGCGTCTCGTTTTCTTTTTTCATTGACTTGTCAAGGTGAGTTAGTCTTCCTCCAGATTTTCAAGTTTTTTGCTCGTTTTTTTTTTAATCTTTTCTCAGCCTTTTTTTTTTTAATTTGGAAATATCAAGCTGTTTATCTGTGTGAAAAAAGGTTTTGATCGTCTTGTCTCTGCTCTCGTTCTCGTATGCTTGATTTATGGAATTTCTTGCATCCTAGTATTACCAATTTAGCTTTGATTTAATGGAATAAGAACGGCTGAGAGGTTTGGGATCTCATCTTAGGGTTTTAGGGGCATCATAATTTGACGGTTTTATAGGCATCGTAAGTTTAGGGTTTTAAAACTTAGATTTAAGGTTTTGAATTCTGATTATATGTCTCTGTACGATTGGTTACATACTAGACATAAACTCACTCTTTTCTATTTTAACGCATGTTTACAATATAGTTTCCGCTGAAACCAGAGTATGTTACAATGATATGTGTGTTTCTCATTGGCATGTAGATGAATAAGAAAACAATGGCTGATAGCAGAAAGAGGAAACTGGATAGAGTGAATTTTCTCGGTGATACTCTTATGGCGTTTAGAAAGGGAATACAAACCGATGTTATTGTTAACCCTGGACCCTGGTGGTGATGGGCCTGGAATTCCCGCTCAAAAAGTTATTTTGGTAATATCTCTAGCTAAACTTGAATTTTGATTCTTATATTATCTAATGATAAAGTATACATATAAGGGAAAATCGGTCTATGGATGTTTACCTCATAGTTGGCTATGTTAACCTATATATATACATTTTATTACTCAAGTTACCAATTGTAAGTATAGTTTCGTCTCATCGTTTATATGTTTGTTATTAACTGATAAGTGATAAGCATTGCTATATTGACATATTGATATACCGCAATCTCTTGGAATTGCTATGAATGAAATACACATTAGATATTTGACTTAAGTAGTAATATGACTCCACACCGATACATATTATGTATGTAATCCGCAACTTTGATCTGTTTAGCATAATGCATACACAATTTCGATTTTGATTGCCCTATCATATTCATGTGTAAGTCCAAACACATGTGAAGTTCATATGCATAGCAAATGCTCATATAAAATCATATGTGAGTTTTACTAATTAAGTCTCTTGACTTTTAACTAAATTTTGTTGTTTATCCCACAGGCAGCGAAGTCGAAAGTGTTTAGCTACATGTTTGACTCCGATGAATGCAAAATTTCTACAGAGAAATCAATAACTCTTCCTGATTTGAGTTATGAAGAACTCAAGGCTCTCATCGACTTCTTCTATACCGGGAAACTGAGTCCCCAAAACAAACACTTTCGAGCGCTCTACATTGCTGCTGACAAGTATGACATACCATATCTCCAAGACTTTTGCAGAGACCATTTCATCTCGCGTCTGAGTTTGAGCAACGTTCTCGACATCCTGGAGCTGTCCACGATCCCTTCAGACAACATTTTAAAGGATAATGCGGTATGCTTTGTCGTAGCACACATGGAACAAATCGTTGATTCCGACAGATATAAATCATTTGTTCAGCAGTATCCTGATCTGAATTTGGTTATCACAAAGGCTTTGATGACTGTTTTGAAATACTTTTGTGGACATGGGCTATTAACAGTTGAAAGGGTGAGGACTGTACTTCTGCCTAAACCATAAGTCCGATTACTCTCTAGATGTGTTAAAACTATATATTGTTGCTACCACATAACTGGATAATTATGTGTCATTTTTTTAATTACTATGTTTTATGGGGTTCTCTTCAAAAAGCCATCGACTACATTTTTTTTTAGTTTTTATAAATAAGAATATAATCCATCATCAACATATACCTAAAAGGCTAAAACTAATAATTATTTTCATTTTGGATCAGTTTTGATATTTAAAGATATTTTTTTTTGTGTCGAACGGTTCTTTCAGGTAAGGGTGGGCAAAAAAACTAAACCGAACTGAACCAACCGAACTGAACCAACCGAACCAACCAAACTTAAATCGAATTGAACCGATCTATTTTTAACATATAACATGTTTGGTCGAAGTTTTTCACAACCCGAACAGTTCGGTTCGGTTTAATTTTAAACCGAACCAAACCAAAAAACTAATATACTTATTTTATTTAATTTTTTAGTTAGTTCATAATATTAGTTTTTTAAAATATGGTGAAATGTGAAATTTCACCTAACCCAACACACCATTTCTTTTCTTTCAAACTGATTTTTTTAAAATTGAATTAAAATTAAACTGAACTAAAACCAAACCGAGCTAAACCAAATCGAATTCAAACCAAACCAAACTTATTTCAGTTTGATTAGAATTTTATTGAACCCAAATTAACCAAACCGAATCAAACTCAAACCGAACCCAAAAATAAACCAAAGTGCCCACCCCTACTCTCATGTGTATATATAACAATTGACACCAATTCCATCAGAAGTCTCACGCATCTCGTTTTCTTTTTCATTGAATTTGTCAAGGTGAGTTTAGTCTTCTCCAGATTCTCAAGTTTATTGCTCTTGTTTGGTTCTTTTCTTGTTTTTCTTTTTCTGGAAAACTATATCTTTGTGTAACTGTGTGTGAAAAAAGGTTTTGATCGTCTTGTCTCTGATCTAGTTCTCGTATGCGTGATTTATGGATTTTCTTGCATCCTATCTCGTATTAGCTTTGATTAGATGGAATAAGAACGGCTGAGAGGTTTGGCATCCTAATTAGAGTTTACAGGGCATCATAATTTGATGGTTTATAGACATCGTAAGTTTAGGGTTTTAGAACTTAGAATTTAAGTTTTTCAATCTGATTATATGTATATGTACGATTGGTTACCTACCAGAGAAACAGATATAAACTCGTTTTACTGTTTTAAACGCATGTTTACAGTATACCTTCCGCTGAGTATATGTTATAATAATTGTGTTTCTTGTTGGCATGTAGGCGAAGAAGCAATGCCAGGTAGCAAAAAGAGAAAACTGGATAGAGTGGATTTTCTAGGTGACTATGTTGTCGCGTTTAAAAATGGAATACACACTGATGTTATTGTTAAACCTGGTGGCGATGGGCCTGGAATTCCCGCTCACAAAGCTGTTTTGGTAACATCTCTAAACTTGAATTATCTAATGTTAATGACGCATACTTGAAGGGAAAATCGGTCAATGGATGTGTAGTTCACCGTTGCCTATGTTAGACTACGGGTGCATAAGAACTTATGTATATAGTATATACCTTTTATTTCTCATAATCACTAGCGATTTGCAACAGCAATAGCAGGAGAAGTTACCAGTTATATGTATTGTTGTCTCATTGTTTATATGTTTGTTAGACTTATAAGCATTTATATACCGACTAAATGGTAAATTGTACTCTCTTGGAATTCCTATGGATGAAATACACATATTTGTCTTTAAGTAATACATGACTCCAAGCCGATACATGTAAGCCGCAACTTGATTAATCGGGTTAGTTAGCTTAATGCACAATTTAGATCTTGATTGCTATATCATACTCATGAGTGACCCAAATCCATGTGAAGTTCTGTTTATAAAACTCTTATCTCGGGGTTAACTAATTAACTCTATCGACTTTTTAACCAAATTTTGTTGTTTATCCCACAGGCAGTGAAGTCGAAAGTGTTTAGCTACATGTTGGACTCTGATGAATGCAAAATTTCAACAGAGAAATCAATCACTGTTCCTGACTTGAGTTATGAAGAACTCAATGCTCTCCTCAAGTTCTTCTATACAGGGATCCTGCGTCCCACCAACAAACACATTCGAGCGCTCTACATTGCTGCTTACAAGTATGACATACCATATCTCCAAGATCTTTGCAGAGACCATTTAATCTCGTCTTTGAGTTTGATCAACGTTCTCGACGTCCTTGAGCTGTCCACTATCCCTTCAGACGACAACTTGAGGTATTATGCGGCAAGCTTTGTCCTATTACATAGGGAAGAAATCGTCTATTCCAAGAGATACAAATCATTTGTTCGGCAGAATCCTGATCTAAGTTTGTATATTACCAAGTCTCTTGTGACTCTTTTGAAATACCATCGTGGGAGATTTGGTGAAAAGTGGAAGATGTTTCTGCCTAAATCATAAGTTTGATTACTCTCTAGATGTGTTAGCCTATTGTTGCTACCACTAAAATATTTACAAACTATCTACAAATGCTTTTGTGACTCTTTTATATGTGTCTTTTTATTTAATGTGCGAGCATTTGGTCATTTAGAAAATTTTCGAATTAATTCGATCATTTAGAACCTAATTCGATCGTCTCTTCGAAACTCGAAATTTTGATTCTGAAGCCATACATTTCTCAGATTTTGTGTTGGTGTTTCTCAAACTGTTACCTGGATAATTATGTCTATTTTTGTCGACTTTTTTTTTCTTTTTTCATAATGGGAAAATGACAAATCCAAATTAATTCCAAAAATCTATTAGCCGCTATAGAGAAATTCTCATCAGTCAAGAAAAACATATTACTAGCAAAAACCGTTCACTGATTTAAATCCAAACTGCGATGAAATCGATTACTAATTAAATACAATTCGATGCGCCCCGAGGATCTAGATTCTAGAACGCTTTCATCATCTATGAATAATGTATATAGTGAAAACCAACGTATGACGAGAGACCAAAAAAGTAATAACATATATGTCACTTACGTAAAGTACTCTTTATTAAAAGTTATGGGGCAACATCCTAAGCCTACAATTGCATAATATTCTCTGGTCAAATAAATCAATCAAATCACCGCGTAACGTGACAATACTTTAACTAATTAATCTACGTTGACCAACGCATAAAAGAAAACTGTATATAAAGAGGACTTGCATTAACCTGTTAGCCATATATTCATTTTTCAAAACCGCCACAGACTAAAACATGGCTGAACAACCTCTCAACGGTGCCTTCTACGGTCCATCAGTCCCACCACCGGCTCCCAAAGGCTACTTCCGCCGCCGTGGGCATAGCCGCGGTTGTGGTTGTTGCCTCTTCAGCTTCTTTGTCAAAGTTATCATAGCCATTATTGTCATCCTTGGCATAGCAGCTCTCATCTTCTGGCTCATCGTCCGTCCTCGACCCATCAAGTTCCACGTGACCCAAGCTTCCCTTACCCGCTTTGAACACACTTCCCCTGACAACATTTTAAGGTATAACCTATCCCTCACTGTCCCTGTCCGTAACCCTAACAAGAGAATTGGAGTCTACTACGACAGGATCGAAGCTCATGCCTACTACGATGGGAAGCGGTTTAGTTCTACCACGTTAACTTCTTTCTATCAAGGACACAAGAACACGACCGTTCTCACACCAATGTTCCAAGGCCAAAACCTTGTTATCTTTAACGCCGGAGAGTCACGTACTTACAACGAGGAGACCATCGCCGGAGTTTATAATATAGAGATTAAGTTTAGGCTTAGGGTTAGGTTTAAGCTTGGGGACGTGAAGTCTCGGAGGACTAAGCCTAAGGTTAATTGTGATGATCTAAGGCTTCCTTTAAGTACCTTTAACGGAACTACAACCTTCGCTACCGTTCTCCCTCTCAAGTGCGACTTCGATTTTTAAGTCTTTGCTTTCATCTAATTCCATCATATATTTTTGGTTCGTTTATTTTTATTTTTTTTTCTATGCAACACTACGACTTATCGTCTATAGAGTCCATTGATTTTGTATACATTGATTCATCTTTCATGTTCATATTTATATATAAATAAAGCATTCATTTTATGTGATTAATACATACGTTGTTCCAAATTGAGCCTTTTTATAACTACACATTAATTTTCTTTAAGTACTTGGACCCTTATTATGAATGTTTTGTTTTCCAGGATGGGGCATTTTGTATAACAAATGGCCTAAACAACTCACAATAATGGGTTTATCAATATTAGTGATCGAACAAAAAATAAAGTTTGTGGTATTCTTAAACATCGATCAACCAAGCTATTTTGACTTGTAAAGGAAGTATGAGCCTGTCGGTACACATTTGCGAATTCTATGCTTTTATGTTTATATGAAGTGATTTTACTGTTGAACATTATAATTATAGTATTTTATAAAAAAAGAATATTATACGCATTTTTTCCAATTCATCATGTCGACCTCAATACATACAACAAGATTATTCCATATACGACAAAGTCCCTTCCTTTGGCCATAATGTTTTAGTACACTTTATTTATGTTTTTTATATTCTAAAGCATAAGATGCCTCTTGTTTTAAACTTAATTAACCCTTCTTTTCATGGGCTGACCTTTTTGCTTTCCCTCAAAAGAATTATATATTGCTCGGCCTAATCCCATACCCTTTGAAGTGAGGAACCAAAGGAAGTAAATAAACAATTTCTTTTTTGCTTGCTATTTGTTTAGGCAAGCAAATGAGAAAAAGTATTGATCCTTTGATTTTCTTCGGTCTGATCTACTTCAGTTTTATTTGTTCCTTCTAGAAGTGACTTCTCCTTTGTGCTACTCTTACGTCATGGATCATTTTTATAACATGCTTTGATCAAGTATAAAAGCTAAATGTTATCGATATTGAATATATACTGTCATATTTATCAACCTTTTTTTCGGCGGTGGCAGTGTAAAGTCGATATTCGAGGACCTTACTTATAAAACACTCGGATAATGTACATGAATTTTTAATAGGAAGTGAATATATAAGCTAAAACAAAATTATGGATTATACCATTTGCCATGTCAAATACTTGTTCTTTTTTTTTTTCCATCTTGAGGCCTTTTTCCTTCTTTTCTGTTAATAAAACTAAAACAGAGTGGACAAGATTAATTCGCAAGACAATCCACCATATTTTGAAACTAAAGATTAGTGGTATTTGATAAAATATTTTTTTGTAAAATCGAATGTTCAGTGCAAACTTTACTAGTACAGCCTAATAAGTTGGATACATAAATGAGAATTTAAGTCATAATTTGGATACTTCTGTAGTTTTGTTAACATACCCCACAAAGTTCCTAAGCCTCCTAACTACACGATTGATTCAGAAAATTGTCCCAGGGTGAAGTAACACATGACCATGGTGGTGATATTACATGAATCATGTTGACGACTTGCTGAAAAGAATGCTTGCATCTACAGCGTCAAGTAATCCAATAAAATCACTGGCATCTCCATCATCATCATGATGATTAAGAGAGAGGTTTAAATCGAGAGATATAAAAGGGTCTGGTTGCGAACAAGTTCTTGATCCGGAGCTCAATCTTTCACAGCTCAATATCACAATCGCATCTCTAAGAAAAGCTTCTTCACCGCTTCCACTTTGAAGTCTTCCTCTCTCAATGGCTCTCTTGAAACCCATCTGACACAAATAGTCAGCTTCCTCTATATCTTCCACGAAGAACACTCTGTGTGGATCACAAGACACCGCTTCAAACAATCTCTGAGTGTAGCTCCAGCTATCTTCATATCTCCTCCTCTTCTTCCTGAGATCTTCCATGGAAGAGGAAGAGAAGCTGCTCAAGCTGATTGAGACGAAGCTCTTCTGCGACCCAAACACAAGCTTTGCCAACTCTCTACCTATCTTCTCTTTTGCCTCAACATCCAAACCTTGGAAAAGTAACCAAGTTTCTTCTTTTCGTTCCCCGCTGCTGAGCTTCCTAGGTGTTGATCCCGATCTGCATTTCAAGATTGCTTTTGCGATCTCTTGGATTTCATCCTTCTGCCTTGGTGCCTTGCTTCTCAAGGCATCACATAGAGTTCCTAGGTTCTCATCATTCATCTCCTTAAACCTGGAGGCGTATTCCACGTCTATTGCATCACTAGAAGAGGCCGCAGATTTCATCAAGAGCGTTGTTGTGAGCTCGTTGTCATGTTCGGGAACAAAAAGTCTTAAGTTGGGTTCTGTAGGAGCATAAGTATTGGAAGATGAGGAAGAAGGAGAAAGAGAAGAAAGGTCGAGGGTTTTCTCAGATGGTCTTTCGTGGATTGAGTTATCTGAATCCTACCAAATACAAATTGATACCAAATCTTAGAACACAGCAAAAATACGAATAATGAGAATGATGAGATCATTACTCACAGTGCCCTTAATTTGATTCTCCATCTTGTATTGTTGAAGCCAAGCTGGGAGAGCGGTTATGACGTTTCTGCTTCTCTTAGCCTCTGCTTTCATCATCGTTGTGTATTCTAGGATGGTCTCATTTTCAGCCTCACTAAGTAAAACAAAACACAATGAACGAGAAATCGAATTAGAACTAACAGTGTGTCTGTGTCTGTGTGTGTCCATAGTGTCATGACCAAACCTTAGTAATTTCACAAGAAGAGACGTTACCTGAATTTCTTGACCCCCGTAGTTAGACCGTTGCTTGCTCTTGGTTTACTGGAGCAAATCTTCAAAGACACAGCCTGCTCCACCTTGCTCTTCACTTGAGGACTTGAGAAACCAGCCTCTTTCATCACTCTGCTCACACCAGGATCATCGAGAATAGAAATTACAAGCTGCTCAGGCTCGATCTTGATAGCCAAGATTGGTTGTTGCTGGTTGTTCTCGATGGAACCACGCCGCAGGTGAGCCTGTGCACGCTTGAGAGCTGCAACCAGAGCGTTAGATATACAAGGGACCAACATAGGACTCCCTGTGGAAGTTGGGAGGCGATTTAGGGAGACGTTGAAACAGAGCTCGAGTGCTCTGCATTGCAGAGGATGAGTATGGGATTGGAGGCAAGCTGTTCTTAGTAAACCCGTGGAAGCAGAGAGCATGGTGCTAGCCACATGGAGAGGCGTGACCTGAGCATGCCCACGTCGTCTAGCCAAGGACATGGCTTGTTTCACCATGTTTGCAGCCTCATGCGTGAGGGCTTGCTGGACACTGCAACCTCCACTCCTCATACTCAATATATAACTATGTATGTCTACAGGAGTCTTGTCTTGATACTCTCTTTCTTTGTAGAAGAAAAACACCAAAGGAACTAGCCAAAAGATGTTTGAGTAAGTCTATGGGGACGAATATACAGAGAAGTAGGAGTTTGGAAATTATATGGAGGAGGAGTAATGTGTATGGTTTTCTTGTAGGAGAGGCAAGAATTTGAGGGTCCAAAGTGGAGTTTTGTAGTGCAAAGTGGACTGCATGTGGTGACAAATCAGTATCAAAAGCCAAAGGGAACTCAGCTTTTTTCCCCTAATAGTGTTTTTCTATCTCAGATTTCACATACACATTTTAAAAAAAAATGTAATATGGGTACTGCTTGCTAAGTGGGTCTCTCTCTTTTATGCAAAGTGTATAATATCTTTTCAATATTTATAAGACCTAACTAAAGATGCAAATCATTATTCATTTAAATATATGTTTTCAAAGATAACATCTCCGATTATAAAAATCACTACTTTTTCCAGCCCCTTCAACCAACAAATAGCTAAGTCCCAACACTTTTCAAGACAACATTCACCTGGTCTATAGAGTCAATCAAGCAAGCGAACCCCATATCACAAGCAACCAAAATAGCCGCAAGAAAAGGGGAAAAAAAACAGAAAACATTGGCACAGAGATTTCTTTTTATATATAACAATAACAAGATTACCCATGTTCCAAAAGATAATCAAGACTCATAAATGATGATGTTATTTTTAAACCCTTTAACCCAATAGATTCTCTCTCAAGTTTATAATCACTATTCTGGTCTTTGTATCTTCTTCAAATTTTGCAGCGGACCCATCATAAGACAAATAAAAGGTATAATATATCATTCTCTTTCCCTTTCATTACTTTCAGAAAAGTGTGTTGCTTTTTTACCATATCTTTTATTTAAAAAACGAGAGAAACGAAGACGAAGAAGAAACGGAGGGTTCCTACTATACTATTTAGGAAGATTAAAGATATATGCATCAACCAATATCCGACAAGGCAAGGATATACTTATCTTAACTTGCTAATACATTATAAACACTCAAACCTAGATAGCGAACAGATGGAAGATGCATCTCAAATTTGACAAGGATACAAATCTATTTGCTATTCAGCGTATGTTGCATAAAATCCAAGATGAAATGCTAAAATCGAAGATGAAACTATCATGTTGCAGTAACTGGCATGAGGAACTTATCCTATTACAATTCTACTTTGATGAATAGGTCTCTCTCTTCTGAAGCATGCCACTGCATAGAAAGAAGAGAAAAGAGAGCACCACCATTTACCTTCCCTAGGAATCTTCAAAAAAAAAAAACTAATACACTTTGATAAGAGAATAATCTATTTATATGTCCTAAAAGGTTAATGAAATGGTAAATGTAACAATTAACTTCTGATGAATTAAAGAAAGGAATGTACAAGAGATCTTCCTTTCATTTCCCAATCATATTTTCAGCTTTTACTCGTTTCTTTTTATTGTAAGCCTTCATCCAAAGGCCAGTCATCAATCCAACATAATCTCTTACAGTCACTGCCTCTGGCTCTTATTACCAAACTAAAGGGTCACTACTCAAATTATAGGGAAAAAGAAGAAGAAAACAACAAAAGAAGAGAGAAATGATCCGACAATCATTATTGAAAGAGAAAAGTAGAGATGTGAAATCTATCCAAGTTATGCTCCAGCAGAAAGAAAATTCCATTTTTCACAATGACTCCAAGCTCAGGGGAAATAATATCCGATCTTGTTAAGTTAAATAAAAGCGCACAAATTCATGCTTCGTTACGGAGGACATGTAGGACCAATGAGGACAGTTTAGAGACTAAAGAGTAACTTACCAAATGTTGTTTGTGAGCTTAGACCCAAAATCCATACAAAGAGAGACGGAAAAAAAATGAAGGCAAAAGCGTTTTGAACAAGAAAAGAAAAGGAATAGAAATGGTTGCTTTGGGCACACCCAATAGCAAACCCTTTTCTCATTTAGTCCAAAGCGATCAACTTTGTTTCCCTATCAAAAGCATTCAACCTCTAACACAAAATAAAAACCACTTACACCAATCCTTTGAAGAAAAGTGTATGACCAGGACAGTCAAATGAGGATGCTTTAAACAAGACCAGGACGCAGAAGATTCAAGATCATATTCGCAAGACAGAAATCATAAAATTGATCCTTCTTTCCCACCAACTTGCTAAATATTTTATTCATGCAGATGCCATATCTTAAACAACAGAGAGTGTTATGCATCGAAATGGCAACAATAACATGGCAAGAACCTGAAAATCTTGGTAAACTACAACAACTTACAAAGTGTTTGCTTGTCTTAAGTTAAGCTGAAATCAAACTGGTTCAGTTTCAAGCTAAGTTTGTGTGTGTTTGACTGTTTGTGCAAAACAATTCTCAGAGGTTGCTTTCAAACCAAACCATTTTTCCAGGAATTTCATGGGAACACAAGAAAGTTGTATTTTTAAAAGGGCCTGTAAGAGTTTCAGTTCCTTCAAAGTAAAGCAGATATATATCATAAAAGTGAATCCACAAAGAGAACAAATAGATTAGATTACGAAATCATTCTCCATTGGACGGTCTAACTTTAAGAATTGGATCGTCTTCCCCCAAAAAAAAAAGAAGATATAAAAGATTAAATGAGGAATGGAGAAAAGCTGTCCTAGTTTTGACAAGACATCCTTCGTAATCTAAAAGCAAAGGTGATGGAATCAGATACCAACATGCTTCTTTTATTCACTGAAGAAGATTTTTCAGCCTCACATAACACAATACTCAATAATACCACACAACATGTAAGATGGGGTTTGCATAGTTTCAAAGAAGATAGAATCTAGAAAGTTCTAGACTAGAACAGTAGCATATAATCACTTGTATTGACCCTCAAACACTAGAAAAGTTATGGCAGAAACAGAAGATCTGCGTTCGATTATCAAGATCGATGCAAACTCTGAGAGTAATATGAACACAGTGAAAAAAGTAGAAAGTATTGGGCTCAATCTTAGCTTAGCTCTGGAAAATTATACCCAAGTATTAGAGAATCCTGATAGAAAACCAACAAATTCTCAAAATAAACAATTCTGGAATTTGATATGATTGAATAAAATAATTCATACTATCTATCTTCTTTGAATCAAACACAAAGATGAAGAACATTCAAGTATCGAACTTTAGGGTATCCACACACATACACACAAAACGCTTAGAAAAGAAAAGTAATCTGTGATTCGAAGGAGTCACCGGAGAAAATGCCGGAGCAAAATTTCCGACTCGACCGGTTTCACCTAGAGAACTCGAGGCTGTTTGTTTAGTCAGTGTAACAGATTCGGATCGCTTCCGGGTCGGGTTAAAACTCTAGAGCTGGAGCGCTTAACTTGAAAATAATAATGGGTTTTCTAATCTTAAGTACCCATTAGCCTTACCCATTTGAATAAACCAACCAATGGGCTCTCTATATTTATATTTCTGACGTTGGATTTTTCTTGTATCAATTTTTTTTTTAAAAAAAAACAAAAGTATCAAACAAATAAATGATTCAGAGAGTGCTTGGTTTGACGTGGCTTTTCGTACAGTGACCGGTCTATTGGCTTATCGATCATTCTTGTAGAATATTTCAAAGCAGATGAATAATCAAACGTAAGCATGCTATTTATATAATATCTGAACAAAGTGTTCGGAGTTTTTTAAACAAACTTTTAAGTTAAACGTGCCAGCTATGTCTATTAGAGCTACTGAGATAGGCAGAATATCCACAGTCTGAGATCTGATCAAATCAATTTGATTTAATGGTTTGAATATGAGCTTTCGGATCTTAATTGTAGATAGTAAAACACTGATTTGTTGAAGCTGGATTCCGATCATGATATATATGTTGATTTTCTTATGTTTTTTATTTGTTGATGTACTATTCGGATGTCGCTATTTATGTCTATTACATATAGAATTTTTCATTATACGTGCATTGTGTGTCAATACGTTTAATATTGTTATGCTTATATCTGAAAGGTGATTTAATATTATTATTCTAAAAAATTATTTTCGATTTATAATATATACACATATTTTTATTTGGTATCTTATTTCATTAACTTTAAGAGTTTTAGTATTTAAAAAAACAAATACATAAGATATTCTTTCAATATGGAGTATTTGATAGTATAATTATGTTAATTGATAATCCGGTGATCGCAGACCACAATAGTATATATGTTAAATAGTTTAAACTTTAGAGGGAATCCAATTGAGAGTTTCTTTCTTTTGATTTTGTTTTTTTTTTATCACGATCCAGTCCATTAAAAAAAAATTGGTACAGGTAAGAAAGCAAAATATATTAGAGATTTGGTGACTAATAAGAAGTAACATATCTGATACGCATATATAGTGACCGATTCTTTAACCAAAGATATGGTTTTTGCAAGGTGGAGATTGTCAATGTTCCCGAAAAAAAGGTGGAGACTTGTCCGGTTACAATGTGAGTAGAGTCAAATTGTGATCTCTGCGTAGAATACTTACTTAAAAAAAAAAACAGATTGAGTTAAGGTAACGAAAATGTTTAATGATCTTTGGGCTATTGCATTTGCTTGTATGACCAGCAATACATATTCTCTTGGCCAGTAATTTACAGTATTTTTTATATGAAAATACCTGTACATTCTCTATAGCTTGCGATTGTATAAAGTTGATACATGTGCTATATGATAGTTTTCGTAGAAAAAATGAGTTTTTTTTTCAAGATTATTATCATTTCCAATGGTCGCATTTGGTGCTATATGATATAATAAGGAGTTGTAGATTCAGTTGTAGATATTGATTTCACGTAATTTCTCCAACACATTTCAATAGGGTTAAAAGGAACTTTAATAAAGCTCATTTTCAAAATTATTATGTAATCTAGAAGTGTTTTTTTCAGGAATTAAAAAAAAATAATATAGTCAATAGGGTTAAAAGGAACTTTAATAAAGCTCATTTTCAAAATTATTATGTAATCTAGAAGTGTTTTTTTCAGGAATTAAAAAAAATAATATAGTCACCGTATCGTCATTGTTATCCTCATCAGCTTGCTAAGGCCATTGACAAGTAATTAGAAACTGCATTGTCTCCTTAAGTTATCCGTGTTGGCGATTTATTCATCCGGTGGCTCTCTCACGATTAATTGCCCTTATCACTTATCACTCCCCTCGCTCTGCCTATCTTTGCTCTCTGTTTTTTGTTATTTCAAAGCACTCATGTTATTTCGATTTAAGCCTTGTAAATATATTTTTTTGTTGCTTTTTAATTTTGAAATTAAAAATAAAAATCAATATATGCTATCTTGCAAATGCCCTTAGTTAACGTGTCATCGTGAAAAATGATTTTACATTCTTTTTGTTATTTTTTTGTCAGCACGTTCTTTTTTTTTAAATGGTAATTCTTTTTTTGAAGCCATTCGTTACAATATCACATGTAAAATGACTTTTGTCTAGCATATATTTTATTTTGTTCTTTCTATGTATTTCTTGCTGATTTATATAGTTTTTTTAAGATTTTCATATAGTTTTTCCAAATCACCAGTGTTTATTTTTTTAAAATGCAAATACTTTGGTAAATCTTTTTTGAAAAATAAGAATTTAAAAACATTAATACAACACATATCAATTACACATATCAAACTGATACAAAATTTACTATTTTCGTTGATTAAAATGATTTCTTTATTCCTAAGTAACATATCATAATTAAGTATTGTTTTGTTAATCCACCATATAATTGTCGATTTTAATTTGAATTTTTTTGTCGACTTTCATGTGAATACTTCTTGGAAAAAGTAAGTATAATAACTTAAAAAATAACCTAAACTACATTGTAAAGGATCTTTCAAAAAAAAAAAAACTATATATTGTAAAGGGAAAAAGCTGTCACAATCTACGGGATCAAGTAATAAGATAAATTAACACATTTAAATGCATATATAGCCAGCCTACCTGGAATTGGATCATTAGCAAAACAAATCTGCATACCTCGTCCTCGCGTATCTATCTATAAAAAAAAGTTGAGAAAGTGACAGAACCAACAAAAAAAGGCAGTCAGAAAAGGACAGATAGAGAGAAAAAATGGAAGAGACAAAATCAAGATTCAGGAGGATCTGTGTCTTTTGCGGAAGCAGTTCCGGCAACAAAACCACTTATCACGACGCCGCTCTCCAACTCGCCCACCAACTGGTTCCTCTCTAATTTCCTTATCTATTTACATCCTCCTCTCACTTTATGCTGTTTGATTAACTAACTCATTAACAGTTATAATATGATAACAGATTTCGATTTTTAGTTACTAGATTTCGTGTAATGCTAAGTATCCTCCAAGGCTCCAACAGTCAAAAACAAAAAAAATATATATATTCAGAGATATACTACACGCATTTGATATGTATACAAGTATTATCTATACAGCTCATTCGTAAAACATATGTCCATTGTAAATATGGTCGTGAATATATCATTAAGTGCTCGATGTGTATGGGAGATTAAGTATCATATCATTGTGTAGTTTTATAATCGTATATATAGTAACGTTGGAATTCACTTCCTCAACTAACAATATTAGTTTTTTTCGATAAAAAAAATATTAACAAAATTCCACCATGCTTAGAGTTGTATACAAAAAATAGATATTACTTTAAATTGATGTGTCAAAATCAAATTGATTAAAATGGATAAAGTCATCTAGAAAGACTATGTTTAATTGTATATTTGTGATTAATAACACATGTAAATGTGAAAGGTGGAGAGAAACATCGATTTGGTGTATGGAGGAGGAAGCGTGGGGCTAATGGGTCTCATATCTCAGGCTGTTCATGATGGTGGTCGTCATGTTCTTGGGTATCTCTCTCTCTGAATTTTGATTATTAAAATTATTAGACAATAAAACATTAGAGTTCAAAACCCAGAATTTATAAATTCAAAGCGACACTGCATCATTCTCTTCTAATTTTTTTGTCTTCCCATGTTCTTCTTCTGCCTTTCAAATGGGTAACATTATCATAGATAGACATTAGACTGCTAGAACATAAATTCATAATATTCATATGATAATAATTTTCTTGGAACATTTGTATTTGGAAACAATGCTATGATTTCGCTTTTTCTATATTTTCTTTAGGCAAAATCCAATGCCAAAGGGGGAAATTAGGCAGATGTCTTTAATTCTACTAATATAATTAAACTGTTAAAAAACATACTTATTAACTAGTAATTGAAACTTTGAAGGTTCAAAGAAGTTTGATCTTTGAACCTTAAGCCGGAAGAAAATAAAGAAATGATTGGAATCTTTGACCACTGCAAAGTTATAAATTAAGTAAATAAAATTAGTGATTTGATATTAGTAATAAGTATTGACATTGTATGTTGCATGGTACACAGGATCATTCCCAAGTCTCTAGCACTAAGAGAGGTATTTAAAAATCTACTGTACATTTAACGAGCAATGTAAACGTTCATATATGTCGTTATTAACAATATAGTAAAATTCATGTGAACTAAAACATGATTATGAAATGATGTTGGGTTTAGATAACCGGTGAATCAATTGGAGAAGTTATAATGGTATCGACTATGCACCAAAGAAAGTCTGAAATGGGTCGCCAAGCGGATGCCTACATTGCACTTCCTGGTTTGGCTTTTTCTTTTCATTTATTTTTCTTACTAAATTTATGTATTCATTAAAAGGTGTATATATATATATATATATATATATGTGTGCATAAATCCAAAGTCATGGAAGGTTAATAAAATAAGGCGTGAGATGCTATTTGACAAACAAAATATAGGTGGATATGGGACATTTGAAGAGTTGCTGGAAGTCATCACCTGGTCTCAGCTTGGGATCCACACTAAACCGGTTAGTATTCAACTTCGGTTAGACATGAAATAATACATAACAAACATGGAGTAGTAGCAAATACATACCTTGAGATTTGGGCCGGTATATCCGGTTATCCGACAAAACATAGTTAAGTCAAGTAGAGATCCATGTTTGTTATGTATTAATGATGGATGGAGATAGAGATTTTCCTAATGGCTAAATATGTGTCATGTGTGGATAGAGAATCTAAGCATATGGGTTGAAGTCATATAGTCACATGGAATAATGTCTCAAATAAGGTTATGGAAACTTCATTAGAAGGTATATATACTTAATTGTATATTATTAAAGAGTACCCCCAAAATCATATCGTACGTACTAATTAACCATCAGTAGTACTAAAAGGCAATGACTAATGCATAAGAAAATCGAATATTAAAGCTAAACATACACACATACAAGCAGACCCTTTTACACATGGTATAAGACTACGAAACTTCGAGTAATTTACATAGAGTAATTAAAGTATATATATATATACATAATGTTAAGTTCAAAAAAAATTGCAGGTGGGACTATTGAATGTCGATGGATTCTACGATTCATTATTGGCTTTTATAGATAAGGCAGTGGACGAAGGCTTTATCTCCTCCACCGCCCGACGCATCATCGTCTCTGCCCCGACCGCTCCTCAATTGCTCCAACTTCTTGAGGTTTCTTTTTTTTTTTTTAATTTCTGATCATTCTATTTCTACTGTATATATATATATATATATATATATATATATAATGTGTGAATCCTAATAAAGGGTGAAAATTAGTTGAGTTGTCCAAGAAAAAAATAATAGTTGAATTCATGTTTGTGATCGCAGGAGTATGTTCCAAAGCACGACGACTTTGTGTCGAAAATGGTGTGGGACGATATTACGGACCCTCCCACATCCGAAGGCGACTCGAGTTAGATTCTTCATATTTGTTTTAGTCTTCTGTTTCTTGTAACTCGTTTTTTCTTGGCCATTATTCAAAAGATTGATTCGTGTATTAATGTATGTATTTGAACTCTTTAACTATTCAAGAATTTAAGAAATTACGATCTACCTTACCAAATTTCCTTCTTGTATATATTTTAAATAACTAATTAATAAAATTATTTTATTAACAACTATATAGGAAACTTAAATAAAAGAAATTGTGATGTGAAAAGACAACAAGCACTTTGCTTTAGGCTACATCCCACACTTAATTATTTTTTTTAGTAGCAATTGCTATAGTTATAAATCACTACAAAAGAATTGTAATTCCTTTGTAAAAACTTGAAATTTGGTGATAAAATTCAAAATTGCCTTCTGCTATAAAATGGCTACGTACAACTTACATTTGTTGTCGAGGACCTACTAAACCACTTTGCATATTCCATTAACGAGATAATAGAAACGGGCCAGTGGGCCTGGCAGAAAAGAAAAAAGGGAAACTTGTTTAGCATCAGATTGGAATAAACCGGTTAAGTTATAAATTGAACCGGGTCGAAGGAGATACGATAATATCCCAATTCTCTTCTCCAAATCCTCATCTTCAAATCACAGTTTGTTCCACTCTTATCCTTTTATCATTTTGTTTTCACAGGGCTTGAGAGAAAAAGAGAGAGAAGAGAGAATCCATGTAGTAAAAAGTGATGTCTCTTGAACAATGCAACAAGAAGCTCTCTCTTTCCTCTCCTCCACTTTCCCTTCTCATCATCACCACCACCATCATCATTTTCCCTCGTTTTCTCGCCTTCGCTTCCACAATTTTCCCGCATTTTCCTTCAAACCAAACACCTCTTCTTCTTCTTCACTCTTCTTCCCTCCCAAATCCCCAGATTTCCCCTCTTTCCCTTCCACCTCCGAAACCCTAGAATCTGACATCCACGAGAAGCTCCTTTACCTCGATTCCCTCGGAATCGACTTCCTCACTCTAATCAATCGCCACCCTCCTCTCCTCTCCGCCGCTCTCTCCGCCGTCAAATCCGTCGTCGATTACATGACCACTCCTCCGATCAATTTCTCCTTGCCCGATTTCCGCCGCCTCGTCTCCATGTGCCCGGAGCTTCTCACTAACCCTCTAACCTCCCACACAATCCCCGTCATCACTTTCCTCCTCCGTGAAGTCGGCGTCGACGGCGTCTTCGATCTCCGCCAAGCTTTACGCCGTCGTCCTCGTCTTCTCGCTTGCAGCGTCGATTGCCAGCTCCGGCCAACGCTCTACTTTCTCCAGAGAGTCGGAATACTCGATCCACACAAACACACTTACCTCCTCTCCTGCAGCGTCGAACAAAAACTCCTCCCACGAATCGATTACTTCCAGAAACTGGGTTTCTCTCGGCGGACCGCGACTTCGATGTTCAGGAGATTCCCGCAGCTTTTCAATTACAGCATCGCCGAGAACTATGAGCCGAAGCTGGATTACTTGATGGGAGAGATGGGAAGAGACGTGAGAGAGATACTTGAGTTTCCTCAGTATTTCTCCTTCAGCTTAGAGAATCGGATCAAACCGAGACATCAGGCTTGTGCGGAGAAAGGAGTGAGATTCCCATTGCCGGTGATGTTGAAGACGAACGAAGCTGGGTTTCGGGATACTTTGGAGGTATGTTGTGATTCTTCTCCGCCATTGAAGACCTCGCCTTTCTACTGTACAAATAAAGATTCTTGATTTATAGAGTTTTGCCTAGGACAATCGAACCTGGAAAGCAAGTGGTGAGAGTTTCTTGCTTTTTTGTCATTTTTTATGGGTCAGGGAGACTTCTTTTAAAATTGATGTGGTTGCTTTGTTTCTAGGTACATTTTGTATTGAATGATTCTGAAGAACTCAAAGCTTGAAGAAACCAAGTCTCTGCCTACATTTTGAGAGAGAGAGAGAGATCATTTCTTGATAGGAGAAAGAATGTTCGTATACAATGTTGATGGTATTGATAGTCCAGTTGCATGGAATGAAAAATGTTTTTTTGGTCTACTTATTGTCGATCCCGAGAGAGTCAAGTGGATACTGGAACCACTTCAAATATCTGATTTGCACAGAATGTGGTTCTAGAATTGGAGGCAAGAGGATGAATATGTGTAACCGGGTCGAATCTTGATGATCCAGAGCTTTAGTCCTTTGGTAGTTGGTGAATCTAGACTTCTCTGTTTTACATGATTTCTTTTCTTTTGTGGGCATTTGGTTTCTTTCTCTTATGATATTTGAAAGGTATAATCCTTTTTTTTTTTTCTCTTAGAACTTGAATTTAGTCTATAATGGACCTCTAACGTACGCTCGTGACAACAAACACGAAACCAAAAGGTACACCTAACACTCTTCTTTAGGCTAAGTGGAATTGTGATCAAAACTATTATATCTTAGTCTTCCATATAGTGAATTGGATTATGAGTTTTTTGTTTTCAAGTAACAAAATGATTAACACTTCTGTACGACGACTCTGTAGTAGTTTAACACTGTCATACAACAACCACTAATCGATAAACATTATAAAAAGAAAACAAAATTTTTCGAAAACCAGTGGGTTGTTTTATAATATTAATAAGGCTAACGGAAACACCAGCACATCACATGTACTATAAACAAACTCTATCTCAATCTCTTGCAGAAATCTGTTTACCGACTACCTTTAAAATAAAAATAGATTCAAAATCAATCAGATTCAAAACATGTTCGAGATCAAAATTTCTGATCACTCCTTTTAACAAAAGAGTTTCGATTATCCCGTTACTAAGGAACAAAAAGAAATTCACGTAAAGTAAGTGGGGTCAATCTGAAACAATATAAAATTATGGGTCAGAAATGGAAACAAAATTAAAAGCCTTTTTTTTTTCTTTAGGCTTCCCTCCACATCTATCCCAACATAAAATTCCCTCCTTCCCTCGTTTTCTGCTCTCTCCTTTTTTCCTCTTCCTCCTCTCTCTCTCTTTTTCTCTCTCTCACTAAAACCCTCGTTTTGCCTCCTCTCTTCTCAATCGCCGTCCCTTTTCTCGCCGTCGGAATCTTCCCATCTCACTACGATCCATGTCCGGCAGCGTACGATCTTCTCCCGGTCCTTCTCAGCCGCCGCCGCCGCCACCGCACCATCCGCCGTCATCTCCATCTCCGGCAGCATCTGCTCCGGTGGTACCACCCATACGTCGACACTTAGCGTTCGCCTCAACAAAACCGCCGTTCCATCCTTCGGATGACTACCATCGATTTACCCCTTATGCCCTCACTAACAACGATAGAAGCCTCGTTAATGGCTGTGGAGTTGTAGATCGGGAGGAAGATGCCGTCGTTGTTAGATCTCCTGTGAGTTTGCCTCGGTTTTGAGTGATTTCGATTGCTCGATTTTGGATTTACCCAGTGAGATTAGAAGTCGTGGATGTTTTGGGGTTCCCTTGCTACATTTCCGCTACCTGTTACCTCTAAAACGAATTTCAATCTCAATTAAATGATTCTCAGCGTCAGATTATCGTCTAGTCATGTCAATTTTTGGTCCCCTTTAGCTTCACGATGGTACATTTTGTATGACAGTGCGTTTCAAATACATCCAATTGACGCGAATCTCGAAATCAGGCGACAATTTCTCCAATCGCTATGACATCTTCGCTTTGATTGCACAATATCTGGGCTGGGGTGTTGAATTGTGTGTGAAATTGCACTGAATTGCTATTCTTCAGTAATCAGTGAATTTGTCAATGTTGTTCTTTACACGACCCATCTAGTCCCCTTACACTGTCGTCACTCTTGTTTGTAGTTTCATCAACAACTTCATATTAAAGAACTCTCTCAAGTTGCATCTTAACATAGTGTTGAGCATATGCTAATTTGTAGCATTGTTGTGCAGGAAGCTTGATATATTTGTCATGTATAATGTTTCAAGTAGATCCCATTGTTATGTGAAAGTTTCTGATGTATAATATAGAGTAATATGTGTAGATGCTTTAAAACCTTTTGGATGATATCTCTCTGCCGTTTGTGTTGTCTGGTTTCAAGTTAATAACAACTAGATTATCTGCAGTCACGGAAGAGAAAGTCGACTATGGACGTGGTTACTGCTCCATCTAATAATGGATTCACGAGCTCTGGTTTCACTAGCATACCCAATAGCCCCTGTCAAACACCTGTTTCAGCAAAAGGAGGCAGAGTCAACACCAAGTCAAAGGCCAAAGGAAATAAGTCAATTCCCCAAACACCCATCTCAAATGCAGGTAAGAAGAATTGTTGATTGTCTGTTTTACCTGCAGGAAGTTCTTATCATTGGAGATCTTGACTGTCTACCGCTTTTAGTTTCCTGTATAAAATTAGATCTTTAGTTGAAATATCTTTCATGTTTGGAGCAACAAGTAGGGCAAAGAGCTGATTATTCTCATGGTAAACTTTCAGATTCTCCTGTCACGCTTACGCCTTCTGGAAGTTGCCGTTATGACAGTTCTTTAGGTAATTAACAGCTATTCGTATATATATCTCTGACTTAAATGTTGTAGCGGTTAAGAAGATGTTGACATAAAGCTTTTCAGGTCTCCTTACAAAAAAGTTCGTCAATCTAATTAAACAAGCCAAAGATGGATTGCTGGATCTAAACAAAGCTGCAGAAACATTGGAGGTGCAGAAACGACGTATATATGATATTACAAACGTTTTGGAGGGGATAGATCTCATTGAAAAGCCTTTGAAGAACCGAATACTTTGGAAGTGAGGATCTTATGATAGACTATTGCTTGTGTTCTTTGAACCATATCTTTCTTCATATCTGCGTCATGTGAACTCACTTGTGGATCAATAAATTTGACCAGGGGAGTTGATGCTTCGAGGCCTGGCGATGTTGATGCTGACGTGTCTGTCTTACAGGTTTCGTGAAACAGCATTTAGTTAAATGGATTGTGCACGTAAATCTTGAAATAGCATGGACTTAGATTCTGGCTTTGATTGATTCATGATCTTGTTTCCTCCTTGCAGGCAGAAATCGAAAACCTTTCCCTCGAGGAGCAAGCGCTCGATAACCAAATCAGGTTTCATAGCATTCATGTAGAGAGTTTTGGCTTGCTGTGATTCGTCTACTCAACCAATGCTGACTTTAACAACGTTTTTCAGAGAAATGGAGGAAAGATTAAGAGATCTAAGCGAAAATGAAAAGAATCAGAAGTAAAAATCTCCGTCCATCTTTTGTTTAGTTTTTTTTCTTGCAATAAGATGGTGCTATTCTTATGATGGACACTTAACCAATCCGTTCCCAATGTTCAGATGGCTTTTTGTAACCGAAGAAGACATCAAGAGTTTACCGGGTTTCCAGGTCTGTACTTCCTATTCCATTTAGTCCTTAGTAGAGTTATCAATTGATTGAACGCTTGTTCACTTATATCTTAACCATCACTTTGCTGCTCCCGCAGAACCAGACTCTGATAGCCGTCAAAGCTCCTCATGGCACAACACTGGAAGTCCCTGATCCAGATGAAGTTAGTCTCTTTCAGCAACTTAAGACATCTTCTATTCATCATTAGATACCAAAATGTTATGATAATATGTTTCTTATGTACATGACAGGCGGCTGACTCCCCTCAAAGGAGATACAGGATCATTCTTAGGAGTACAATGGGACCTATTGACGTATACCTTGTCAGGTATGTATCCCTTTGTTTTTTTCTCTTAAACATGAATAGTAGTCAGTAGTCACTCAAAGTTAATTGAATGTAAGACGCAATGGCATAAAAGATAAAAGGTTTAGTTTGGTCTTTTACTTCTATAAAGATTTTTCTGTTAGAAATTTCCGATCAATCAGTATGTCTACTCATGGAGTTTGAGAAGGCACTTCTCCGCTTACATGTCTTTTTCTTTTCACTTCATGTTCAGTGAATTTGAGGGGAAGTTTGAAGACACAAATGGGAGTGTTGAACCAGCAGCAAGCTTGCCTATTGCTTCTTGCTCGGGATCGACAGAAAACCATGACATCGAAGCCTTAACTGTTGATAACACAGGAACTGACATTGAGCATCAGGTGTCTCATGATCAAGCACATGCTCAGCCCGGCGATACCTCTGATCTAAATTATTTGCAGGAGCAAGTAGGAGGAATGCTTAAGATTACTCCCTCTGACGTCGAAGTAAGCTCTCTTCCTCCTGCTTACTTTAATATCTCTAAGGACTCCACTGTATCATTCATCAGAAAAGAAAAAAAACTTTAACATGGCTCTTAAAACCTACTTATTATAAACCTGATTGTGATAACTGTATTGTATATTGCAGAATGATGATACGGACTACTGGCTTCTCTCCAATGCTGAAATTAGCATGACGGATATTTGGAAAACGGACTGTATCCTTTGATATATATCAAACTGTTTCTCTATCTCTCACAGATTTTCAATGTTATCTGCATATAAATAGGCAAATCCTTAACTCATACAAAAGCTGGTATCGATTGGGATTACGGAATAGCTGATGTGAGTACTCCACCACCAGTAATGGGTGAAATAGCCCCAACCGCTGTTGACACAACCCCGAGATGATCCAAAGTTCGATCCCTAATGTGTTTCTTCACAACACTCTTTACTTAGCGCCCAAATCAAATCCAAGCAAGGAGGGAGCAAATACAGAACGTGTGTGAACCAATGGCAGGTGCGGTTCCATACGATGTACCATTAAATTATGATTCATTTATCGATAGAGAGTGGTGATAACGAGAGTGACAATGTAGAGGAGTACCGGTTAAGAGAAGAAACTAATGTAAGTTTAAGAGAGATATACTTCCTCGGCTGCATTAGTACACTAGTTGATTATAGTTTTTTGATCATTCAAATGCATCGTTACAATCAACAAATGATCTCTACAGCAGATTCCAAGTCGGTTAACCGAAGTAAGAACTGTACCACCCGAATCAATATAGGAGATAAATTGAACACCTTGCGAAAACAAATACAAATATTCTCGCTGTATTTATACTTCTGCTTCAATTTACAAAATCACAAGAAAAAAAAAATTCAATCTGTTTTGTTTTTATAACATTTCAAAACTTTCACTTTTTTTTTTGTTTCTTTCCCTATATATCTTTAAACAAATTAGAAAGGGTTATCGCGAGTCACGTTTATGTACGTTACTATGCTGCGGCCTGAGGTCTGGAGGTAGAACGACGAAGCTTAGCTCGAGCGTCGGTGATGGGCGATCCCGGAAATGAATCGGGAATGTTGACTCCTTCTTCTCCGTTGAATGTTCCGGCTGAGTCTCGGCCTGGTGTTGGTGGTGGTGTAGGTGGTGGCCACTTCCTCCCTCTGCTAGATTGCTTCTCCAACGATCGCAACGCAGATAGCGATTTGTTCAACGGTCTTGGAGCTGGTGGTGATTGCGGTTCACTGTCTGTCTCTACCGATGATCTCGTTTTCACGTTCACGTTCGGTTCCATTGGCTGAGCACAAAAGGGTCAAAGATTATTAGGTATGATATGAAGTGAAAGAGACATTTCACTATGGTAAATAGCTCATTTGATTAGTGTTTGCATTAGATTTACAGCTCTTAAGAAAGACTTAACGTAACGAGTTTATCCGAAAAACGATACACGGTGAATGTAAATGAAACAAACAATCGAAGCGATTTACTTTTGACCCAATTCAATACCCAAAACTTGAATCTAGATAAATGCAAACTGTAAAATATTGTATGGGCAACAATAAAAGTGAAAAGTGATGGGTTGGTACCGGTTGGTTAGCTGCAGCAGAGAACCGAACCGATTGGGCAAGTACGTACTGAAAAGCCTGGATCAAGGTGGATTGACCAGCCTGTGAATAGATAAGTTTGTTGGTCTTAATGTTAGGATATATAATGCCGTTTAAATAACGATACAAATAGGAAAGAAAAAAAATAGACCTGAGCAAAGTTATGGAAGTAGAAGATGAAGAAATCCCAAGCTCGAGCTCGCAACTCCATAATCTTTCTGTCAATTTCTGTCTCGTGTTGAGCTATGTATGGCTTCAACAATGTTTCATACACATGTCTCGTTCCCTTCATAAAGTTTTCCCCCATTTTTTATTAGTTGATAAGTGATAACCACTTGTTAAATACTATCCGTATAGTAATTTTTTAGTGTTGTGTTAGAGGTAAGAAAAAAAGTCAATTACCTTTGTTTTGGGGTACCAGAGATATACGAAGAAGAGCACTTTCATTTCTCCGTACAACGGTAACCTGCAAATAATAATTGCATGTATCATTTTTTTTCCTTGCCAGTTGCATAAATAAATGAATTTTATATGTTTAAGGAAATAGATAAGTTGTAGCGCATGGCCATGAATTAAATAATAATGTGATATTTCTTACCATGAGATAAATATATCGCCAACCCTCTCAAATGATGAAATTAGCGCCAACAATATCCTAATTATTCAAATACAAATGTTAAATAAATTAATAGTTTCCAGGATATTAAGACTAAACTATACATTCAGACGTGCATCACATACGTTGACGTGTAAAAACAATATATCCTAAGAGAAGTGTACCATTAATTCTCCAATTTGGATATAAATAGTAATAGTTCAAAACCAAAGACTTGTAGGAAAGATTATTTGAAATTAATTAAGGATATGTTCTAACTTCTAACAGTAACAGACAATACCAACCTTAACCGAATTTTGTTATCTTTTACCTCTTCAAAATCAAACAAGCCAAAAAACCAAAATACATCTAACTTTCACCAAACTAGAATCAATTTGCCAATTACAACAAATTTACACACATACATGCAGTGGTATATATATATATATATATATATATATCTGAATGTTAAAAAAATATATGACAATAACTTAAAAAGGATGACATTTATAAATACCAGTATTGGCACCAAAATCTGAGTTCCTCGATATCAACTTTGTTCTTCTCCACCGTTTTATAGCATTCGAATGCTGGGTATGTGTACCCTAATATTAATCTGCCAGTATCACCATTTTTTAAGTATATATATACATACATTAATCTAACAAAACAACAAAAGATGATAAACCAAAGGGAAATTAATTATAGAAAATTTTATAAAAGAGAATGAGATATTGTAGGACATACACAAGGAGTCTGATGATGAAATCTCCCAACATCTTCGACCAAATTAATCTGAATTATTTCCTGCTTCGATTACATTACAAACTTGTCAGAACTCGGAACCAATTCAACAATCATATATAACCCAAATCGATATTTAGTTTTTTAGCACAGAAAAAAATACGAACGAACCTAAGATCAAAGACGTTAAGAAGATCTCGTCCTCGTATGGATTCTTGAACGTACGAAGAAGAACGATTGGAATTGTTTTTTTTTTCGAGGAACCCAGAAGGATCAAAACTGCAAATGGGATCAAACTGTGTTATTGGTTATGGATTTTGTATATAACTAGATATTAATCTCTTTTTTTTAAGTATAACTTTGTACAAACCTAAATTAAAGGAGAGGGTGTCTCTCCGTTTTAAGCAACGAAAAAAAAAACAAAAACTTTGAATCTCAAAGAGAGGAAAAAAAGAATGGGGCAAAGTTTATATATATGAGATGATTAAGAAGACGCGTGAGTTCTATAATTGGAGTAAATTGGCGTTTGAATTTTCAATAAAATCGTTTAGAAAAAGAAATCAATAAAAAAGTAAACGGTTTTAAATTTCTTGCCACGGACGCTACTTGAATTGTGGGGGTACGAGGAACGGGTTTACCGTTTGGCCGTTATCTCCGATATTTGTTGCTCCAAGGCTATTCTTGTCATTTATAATGTCCGAAGCTTCATATAAATTTACAAATACATTCTTCAACTCTCTTTTTTTTTTTTGACATATAGAATTTCAACTCTTTTTCTCCGGAAAATACATAAAATCTGAAATTCCATTGAAATTCCATCTAAACATCCTTGTCCAATGGATAGTTTGAACAGTTTTTTTGTGCAATTAAGTAAGGCTTCTTCTTCTTTTGTTTTTCAAGCAAACCTAGTTAAAAGGACAAAACTTTATAGATAGGGGATAGTCATAGGAAACATGCACAAATCAAGTACCCTAAAATTTTAAGATATTCGAATTCGAATCTGAAAATATATAATCCGATTTGGATTCAGGATTCTCCAACACCATGCAAAACTCTTTTTAATATATAACAATTAATTAGTGTGAATAGAGAATAGACAAAAGAAAATCCTTTTTGAAAATATTTTAAGGTTTTAAATATAGTAAGAGAAATGTCAGGGTCAAAAATCAAGACGTTGTGAAGACCAAAAAAAAATAGAAGGGATGCCGGGAGGAGCTGCAGCCTTTGGGCTTAAATTGGTCTTGAGTAACAAATTATCTGGGTTCATGCGCATCATCAAGCTTATGAAGGCCCAATACAAATCCATTTTGTTGAAATGGCTTCGGAAAATTAAGTGAAATGAACCTAATTTAGTAATTTTGTTGAAATCTGTGTCCTAAATTATTTTCACCCTCCTTCATTTTGTTAAATAGGAAGCATTAAGCATATTTCCAAATCAGAAGTATAATGAGCCAGACAAAATATGGGAATTATATTTCCAAATCAATCTTTTTAGGAAGCATGTTAATGAATTTTCCATTTCAATATAAGGTCATAACCGTTGATTTGACATTTTTCATTCAAATTAAGAAACAAGTTGAGTATGTTCATACAAAACATTTAATTTTGTACTCGTGGCATATCTAATATAATCCTAAAATTAAGCTTGAGTGGATTTGTTGTTTCATTATAAAAAATTACGTTGAAATTTTAAGCAATAATATTTTAAAAGTAAAATTGATAATTTGATCCAACATTTTTAAATGAAATAGACGAAGTATATATATAACCTTTTTTGAAGTGGATCTCGGACTACGAAGGGCACACTAATCTTCAACTTCTAGTAAAGAATGGAGTATTTTTACTATTTGGGACACATATATTAACCAACTCTAGTTTTGAGATACCTGATAAATTATCAAGTATTTGACACCGTAATAAATAGTTAACTCAAATAGCCCTATCTAATCTTCTTTTAAAGAATCAGTAGAGTAAGTAAATGTCGAATCAATGCGCATGCTGTCATGCATATGCAGACATATATTGATGTGCAAAATATTCAAAAGATATTACAAATTGTTTTTGAACATCAAATTAAATATTAATGCTAACTGCTAAGAGTTTACTTCTCATTAATCCATCTCAGTCCCCACATGCATCCTTTAATACCAATCCCAAGTAAACTCTCTCACACTATCTATCTCTCTCTCTAAAACCTACTTTCTTTACAGTCAGAGAGAGTCACAAAAGTTACAACAATGGCGGGTAAAAGCAAGAAGAAGAAAATGGTCCTTAAGGCAGTTTCTGTTGTAGACATCGGATGCAGCAACTGTAAGTTCCCAAACTTGTCTTCTTTTTTCAACCGTTTCCCCAAAAAGCCCCGCCTCTACTCCTCTAATTACGGCCCCTGCCACTCCTCCACCACCACTGCCTCCTCCTCCTCCGCCATTCCTTCCACCACTCACTGGTTCTCCGACAACACCTCTTCCTCCTCCGCCACACCCACCGCAGCCGTCGCCGTCGAGAAAGACTCCGACGACCCTTATCTCGATTTCCGGCAGTCTATGCTTCAGATGATTCTCGAGAACGAGATTTACTCTAAAGATGATCTCAGAGAGCTTCTCCACTGCTTCCTCTCACTTAACGAGCCTTACCACCACGGCATCATCATCCGCGCTTTCTCCGAAATCTGGGACGGAGTCTTCTCCGCCGCCGTCAAACGCCGTGGCGGCGTCCAAGAGTCTCCGCTTGTCCGTCGTCACGGGCCATCACGTGATTACCATAATCACTACCACAGATCGATGTAATGTAACTCCGTTTGTTAGTTAGGGGATGCAACTCTTTTAACTAAGTTTTATCATGCCACGTCACCAATAATGTATTGACACGTTGACTATCCGTTTCACCTACTACCGACGTGTCAATATATTATTGGGTTTGTGCTTTTTAACTTCTTATCTTAGCTTTGTCTTTTTCTTCTTTGTCTTTGAACAAGTGTAAACAACCATGGTAGAATGTTTATGCAAAATAACCTTTCGTTATATAAATTATACTCCCTCTGTTCAGAATTATTTGATGTTTTAGAAGG